TTTTTTTTGTGGGGGGGGGGGGCAACGCTGCACTTGTATTTCACTAGATTTATTATAAAGGACTACTTAATAATTATTTTGTAAATTTACATAATTCTACTAAAAATTGTAGCCACCATTATATAAATAAAATTATTACCAGATAGGACTAACTTTAAAAGTAAAATCATGTATGATTTATAAAACAGTGAAAAGAAATCGGTCAGTAAGACGAGAAGTTGCTATGATAAAGCCAGTCCATCACTTCTTAAACATCTATTTTTTTTACTTTTATTATACTTTTCTCACTTTTCTTTAAACGTTGCTTGTTAAGCCCTTTGTGACTTGTGTTTGGAATAGTGCTATATAGGTACTTTTTGATAAGTTTATGCTTATGCGACCATGGCAACATCCATTGTCACCATGACAACATGCACCATAATAAACTGTGCGTCCACTGAAGTTGGTTCATCTGTCAGGTCTGTTTTGTCATCCTCCAGGCTCTGCTTCACTCATTCTTACCCCTGACATCGTCATTATTTTTATCATTATTGTTGTTATTATTATTACATGACTGTTGCTGTTTATTCGGTGATAAACAGCACTGCATTAACTTCTCATACCACAGTGCTCCCACTCTGCTACAACAACTAACCAACCACATCCACCCCATCACATCTCACTGCACCGATCAGGCGGCCTATTTATGCTTGTCGATGTTACTGCTGCTCCACTCCACCCAGCCTCCACCTGCTTTGGTTCTGCTCTGTTTGTACGCATCCTGGGGGGTATTTATTTCTAAATTAATAACTCTTGGGGGATTACTTGCAATGGTTCCTGCATGTTATTTATCACTATGCTGTGAATTTCATTCTGCTACACGGTATTGCTACAGCAGGCAGCTTTACCAACAGGGGGCCATTTTCCCCAAATAATTCAGATTACCACTTTGCATTATAGTTTATGACAGAATCAAATGTAATGTTAAAAAAATAATATAATAAGGATATGAAAAGAAACATAAGGTACATTTTTCTTGTCTTTATGTGAACACAATCCTCACAAAACCAAGACAAGAACATATCATTTGTCTCACTAACTTACAGTGCATTAAATACCCTTTATGGCTGATTTGCTTATCACCAATATCACATCATCTGCCATCGCAAAGTCAGATTTCTGTCGCTTCCAGCGTTTGAAGGAAAACAGCTGCTATCATCCTCTCATCCTTTTAGAAGAAGCCTGGTAGCCTCACACTGCCTCGGTATTTAAATTCAGACTTGCGGCATGTTTAGTTACCCCATCTTACAACCAGCTTTGTGTTTCCTACATCTTGAACAGTGATGGTGTCGCTTTCATCTTCACACACACACAAGTTCAATCTTGTTTCTTGGCGTCTGTGTTGGCGTATGTAGAAGTGTATTGCTTCTATTTTTAATCCTCATTATCTCTTACTTTTTTTTGTATGGATTTGTTTTTTTTTCTGAACTTTGTCAACGATATGCTTGTTAGAACACTTTATTGAAATAACTTAACTTGACAACCGATTACCTTGGATAGAGCATATTTCTATTTCTGTGTGTAGCCAGCAAAGCTTCAAGACAACATGTTCGTTGCTGCCATGTTTCCCTGTGCTTTAAAAACCCAGCTCAAACTTGAAGTCCTGAATGAAAAACATGTATTTACTCCTTGTATTCTACATATAATCAAAGAAAAATAGAGAGTGTAACAAGAGAACTGTTTTCAGAATTTACAAAAACACACTTCAAGCATGTTACGTGTGTGGATGATGCATAGTTGTGTGTCCGAAAGAAGAAAAAATTGGCCAATATATCAGTTTTTTAAAATCACCAATATCAGTCTCAGTCGTGAAATTTGAATATAAGGGCTCTTTGCTCCATTTATGTTTTGATGAGCATTTTGGGGGGCAGTTAGTTGATTTGTACAGATGGGGAAGGTTTATTTCTGATTGGTCAGTGTCCACCCTAACTCACCTGAACACACACCTCTCAGACCAACTAAAAATTATTATTTTTTACAACCTAAAACCATACAGAATGATGTAGTGTGAAATACTTCTTGTCCTTGGAAGTTTATATATAAATAGGTGTTAAACAGAAGTTTGCCATCTATTTAGTGATAAATGGGACCATAACCACAAAATCAGCAACATGCTTCTAAAAATAAGACCTGATATCAGCAAGTGATTTTTTACAAGCACAGCTCTTACCCCTTTCTTGTTTTCGGAAAACTCCAGGCCTGTCTTTTAAATACAGTAGTAATGTTAAGCTAGTTAGCCGTATACCCTGTATAAATGATATAGTATGCAAGCATCATGGTAAAGCCAATAACATTAGAGCAGACAAGCATACATTAGTGAATGTATTTATAAAATAAGCAAGAACTTCATCCAAGTAGGTTCATAACTAAAACACAGAACAACTCATTTAGAATATATTTTATATTTTGCTTATTTTTAGTTTTAGTTTTCCTGTTGTGGACATAAGGGATGCAATCAAACCTAACAATGCAAGACATGAACTGTTATTTTAATGCAGGATCTAAATCCCCTTTTTAGAAAGAATCATTCAGTCAGGTGTGGCGACTTAAAAATTTCATCGGAAACCATCTCAAAGTACAACACAACTAAATAGATTAAAAATTAAATAGTCCACTACAGTCTACTTTGATGATGAACTTGAGCCTTCTTCTTCCATTTCCTGTGGAGGAGCCATATGTGGCGTGTTCCATCTCTGCAAATCTTCAGATAGGAGATGGGAGGAAATATTGATGTTGATGAACAGCCACGTGTTTGCTACTCAGTGCTGATGTTTCAAGGATTTGTGCGAGGGATTTGTAAAATGTGACAATCTGTTGCTCTAGATCAGGGGTCCCCAATCCCAGTCCATGAGGGCCGGTGTCCCTGCAGGTTTTAGATGTGTCCTTGATCCATCACAGCTGATTTAAATGGATAAATTACTTTCTCAACATGTCTTGGAGTTCTCCAGAAGCCTGGTAATGAACTAATCATGTGATTCAGGTGTGTTGACATCTAAAACCTGCAAGGATGAGTCGTGATGAGTCAAAAGCCTCCTTATAAAACCTAGTAAGCAAGCTACTCATTTTTATGTAGATTATAGATTTTTTTTAGACTTTAATGCATCTCTCCACTCTAGTCAGACACTTCAGTTTCTGTGTGTTTTTATGCTAACATACCAAAGGACATCTGAAAGACATAAGTTGTTCTTCTCTCCTAGAGAATCTCTGTTATGTCTCTGACTGCTAAAGCAGATGCGTGTTAGTTGTTGCTTCTAGTAATGCATCAGCATGTGTTATTTTTTACTGGTAAATGCAAAAAATCCACCCAAATAAACGGCCAGTCTTTGTTCTCCAAACAAGTAAAAAGGCTCATCACTGCAACAGCTCACCTGCCATGCAGCTTTTGGGTCTTCAAACCAGGATAAACACACAATAACAAAATATAGACCAGTGCAGTAGAAAATGCCAAACTCCCGTTTTGTCAAATGATTTCCATGCAAAAGCCAGAGCAAAGATGTCTCTGCATTTTCCAAGCCAAATAAAGTGAGTAATATAAAGACAAAACTTAGCAAAGCGTGTCACAGCGGGCTTACGGCTGCCTCCTGCAACATGTAGGAGGTGGACAATCTCAACATCCTCCCAAACGAGCACAAAATCACAGTTCAGTTTGATTTTCACACTAAAACGCACTGGAAGTGAGAAAGATATTCAGGTTGCTGACTCCACAAAGTGGATGCAGTGGAAGGCATACAACAGATTCTTACGGCTTCAGATTATTGCCGTGTTTAGTCACCAAAGGGTGTAATAGAAATACTCACTGGAACCAATCTGGCAAATGTTCATTATTCTCTAGTATTTGAAAATGTCTGTGGATGAAGTCAGCGAGGAGAAGACAAAAGGATCAAGAGGTGGATTTGATTCCCAACAGGCTTCGACAGACTCTTACCTGTACTCGATTTGATGGTTTCTTGTCCGACCGTTTGCCCAAGCAGGTCGTACTGGTTCAGCCGAGAGCTTTCCCCTTCCACTACAACAGACTCGGAAGCATTGCGAGTCCAAGCATAAGTCACCTCTGAGATTGTGTAGGCATCTAAAAAGAGGAAGAGGGTAGACTCATTGGAGGTAAACTGATACATTTTTCTAAAATCCAAATGAAAAGCCACCTTTTACAGTGTTTAAATGATACTGCTGAGAGAAACAAAGCCCCTCACTGCTTTATGATGTCACTTGTGAAACACCAACAAGATATCAATACATAGTGACATTTGCCCTTTTCAGTCAGCCACAGAATTTACTGAATATGGGATATGAGAGTGTGTCTGCTGACCTGAGAATGTCTAATGAAACGGGAACATTTTTACTTCAGTACATTCAGTAATTGAAATATTCTGTCAGTCATGCTGCACAGTAACGTGAAATGTGAAATACTGTAGATCACCACATAAAGAAGACAGGACATCAAGGCATTTCAGACATGACCCACTGAGTTAGGATAATTATTGCTTTTAAAGCAACATCTTGAAACAGCTTAAAGCAAAAAATTCCATCCAAATGTGAAGAAGCATTAGCAGAATTAAATACCCAACAAAAATATTTGGATGAGCTTAGCATTGGTTTCCCCATTTTTCCCAGGGACTTTTCCAATTAGTCCTCTATCCGTAGTGTTGTTTGTGCCACTGCCAAAAAACTGAGCCATGCATTCTAGCTTCACTTGTTCCTGAGGCTCCTCTCTCGCCAAAGGACCAGTGAGAAGAAGGAAGGAAAGAAAAAACAAAAAAAGAAACAAAGCAGCATTTTACTTTTGAGTTCCCTCAGGCACTATCATCATCAGAGTTACTCACAGCTGCCAAATTTTAGTGGACAGGAATGAGAGTCCATGGGGAAATCCTCCAGATGCATTGGGCACTCTGCATGCACAGTTAACCTGCATCCAATTCACAGAAAATGGAGGAGACTTTGCAAATGCATGAAAAGTATACAGCAGAGATAGAAAGAAAAATAAACTCACAAGCCTCATGCACTATTCAAGACACTTCCCATCTGTAATGCCTTGAAACAAAAATAATCATCTTAAATGTAATCAGCGGAGCAAAACAAACTAGGTGCTGCAGAGACCAGCAGAGATGGTGACACTGTAGGTTAGCTCTGTGCTAAGAAACCGCATACCTGTGTGCTGTTTAAGACAATATCCAACCACTGCAAAAATACTCAGTGCTTACAAATGTATCAGACCAGCAGCCAATGTAAGGTTCATGCCACAGCTGACGAAATTAACAATACTGGTAATTACAAAAATCATTTTTTTAATGTATAACGGTTAATCCACCAGGACAGGCTGTTTAAACAAAAGAATGTTTTCAGTGCTGAGCTGTAATTCTTATTGTTATCCATGAATCTTCAACTTGGCTATTTTTCAAAAAAGCAGAAAAAATAGTTTTTAGTTTTTACTGAGATGCCAAATTACACATGTTTGTGTTTCTAAATAGAAAAATTACTTTTACTGTTTGAATGTCACTCCTCAGAGTCCAGTGTGCCGGCACAAATTTAGGTATAAAAACATGAATCTCCTGCAATGAACTCAGTCATTTTTGTTTTTCTGACAAGTGGTCTGAATTTGTTAAGCAATTTATTATAATTAATATTATTACAAAAATGTATGTTTCCATTGACTTTTTTGAAATAGCATTCAAGCACAGCAATGAATGCGAGAAACAGGAGGCATAAAAAATACATTTGAACAAATGGGATTCTGTGTTGCTGCTATATTCACGCTTGCTTTAGCAAGAAAAGCGTTCCATCCACGTCATTTCTCTTTTTCTTTCTCTCTATTTTAGGAACGTTTGTGGACTCTCATGTCTCTTAGGCAAATATGAAGCTGTATCCAGCAGCCTGGCTTTGAGAGTTCCTGGGTTCATGTCTCAAACATGTAGTTATCTGTGTTTTTGTGCGGGGAGAGGAGGCGCTAACATTACCTAGCCATTTAACAATGGCCCAGTTGTTGTTAGTTTCACGGTGACTGGAGTCGAGTTTCTATGGCTATGGTGAAAAATATCAACAATCCACATCTAAGTCTATTTCCATCATCATTTTTTTGACTTACTTTTCCAAATCCAACCTGAGCCAGTCTGAACTGACTCTGGAGACGGATGGATCGACTGGAAGCAGCTCTGGCTGTTGAGCTTGTATGGCAGGGTTAAAGACGTGTATTTAAATGCAGTGCTGGGCAGCAGAGAAATGCCTCGTTTAGTCTTTCAGGTTCCAGTGATGATGTGACATTACGTGTAAACATAAGCTAACACTTTGCTAGCAAGAGCTTCATGTTTGCCTTATAGATGTAATCAGTGTTTCTAAGTAACCCTCAGTTAGACAGCAAACGTATATTATCCACGCGATTCTCACTGTTTCTGTCTTTTTGCTTCTGTGCCTTGAGTTACCTCATGGTGTACAGCAGAGTCCCGTCATCTTTGATCCTCAACAGTTTATTAGGCATGGTCATGTTATGTGCCACAGACTTTTTCCCGTTGTGAAAGAAGGTGTCCGGTGTCCAAATCTTACTCGCCATCAGGTTGTTCAGGGGCAAAATATTCATTGGTCCATGGAATTTCAACCTCTCGTCCTTCCAGCTTTGCCGGAAGAAAACATCTATGGTGTACTCCTGAGAAAAGATGAGATACGTTCATGAATTAATCTCACTATATTATTACTTCTCTTATGACTTAGGTGCCCCATGTATTAAAACAAGGCTCATTCCCACTCAAAAAATGCTAAACTGCACACTGATGGGCAGTTCATCACAACTAACTTCACCTGCCAGCTCTGCCTACAGAGGAACCTTAACCTATCCCTGTTTCCAAATAGCGAGTCTCCATGAAGGTGAGACCCACACTCGCCCTGTTCCTTCACAGCTTACTCAGTTGCTGTTTTCCTAAGCTGACTCTGAGGCCAACATGACCCCCTTAACCTGCAATACTGTGTTGTCAAAAGACACCACACAGCAAGGATTAAGGGCAGAAATCAGTGCACCGTGAAATGTGTATACGTGTGAATGTTCGTGTCCGTGTGATTCACACACAGCAAGTGAGGGTGAGAAGCAGAAAGAGATACTTTTTTTTTCTTTTTACTCGTCATAGTTGCAAAGCCTGTGACATTTAGATGTCGGGACACTGAAACTGTGGATTATACGGTATAGCAGCTCGGACTCTGAGAGGGCCTGCTTTAGTATTTCAGTTCAGGTCTCATTTAGTAAAGTTTAGCAAAAAGTCATTAAAAAAAATGTCTGAACGTGAACAGTGTGGTTGTTGAAAGACGGAGCATAAACGAGGTCAGTAAGCTGTGGTTCTTACGACACATAGGTTTAGGCTAACTGTAAATGTTTTCTTTGAGCTCTCTTCTAAAACATTCTGCATCCTTCTAAATTATTAAAAACACATTCATC